GATTTTTAAATCAGGCAGGCTATTCTGGCAACCATGTAAAGGAAAGATGGGAAAGAGCAGAGAATGGAAAAAGAAAGACCAGTTAGATGACTATTACAATAGTCCAGTCAATTAGTCATTCAGCAAAAATTTGTTGAGCACCACACTGGGAATACAAAGAAAGGCAAACATACTTTCTGGCTCTAAATGAGCTCACAAACAAATGGGAGTGGGACAACATCCAAATATCCCTGTGTATGAAAGATACAAATAGTGTAAGTGGCAGGTAATCTCAGAGGAGAGGTACTAGCAGTAGGGGGATGGCAAAGGTCTCCTACAGAAGATTTGAACAGAGTCTTAAAGGAATGTAGGGAAATTAGGAATCAGATTAAGGAGGGAAAACATTCCAGGCATGAAGAACAGGGACAGGTAAGGAGTTGAGAAATAAAGTATGGTATAATTATACTGTATAGTACATTTGTGGGAGTGAAATATCAGAATAATGGAGAGGTACAAAAGAAGCATACTGGAAAGGGTTTTGAATGCCAGACAGGATTTTATATTTGATCCTAAAGCTAAGAAGGAGCTGTCGGAGTTTACTGAGTTGGCAGAGTCAGCAGAGGGGTTACATGGTCATAAATGCTTTAGAAAAATCACTTTGACATCTAAGTGAAAGACAGATTGAATTAGGCATTCTTGAGTGGAGAAAAGGGTTGGTTCTGATAGATACTGAACAGAACTTAGCAAATGATTGGATGTGGTAGGTAAGAAGGAAAAAACAAAAATGAATACTCAAGCTTGGGTGACTCAGAGGACATTAATGCCATCAAAACAAATAAGAAAGTTAGGAAGAAAGTGGGAAGATGAGTTTGGGATAAGTTGAATTTGAGGTGCCATCAATATACAGATGGATATACAGGTGGAAATGCATTGCAGACTATTGGAAACATAAAAGTACTGATCAAAGGAGAAATCAGCACTGAAGGTAAAATTTGAGAGTCATCTTCATAGAGAGGATAATTAAAGTCATGTAAATGCATGATGTCTCCAGTTAAAAAGAGCATAGAGAGGCAAGGAAGGCATAGGGAAAGTCCTTGGGGGATATTCACATTTAGAAAACTGAAGGAGGGGAATAAAGAATTAAGATACTTAGAAGGAACAGTCAGAGAGGTAGGAGGTGAACCAAGAAGAGACAAGTTTCCATGAAGCCAAAGAGAGAGTATCAATGAGTCAATGGTGAACACTTGTCAAATACTGTAAAAACATCCCCCAAAATGAAGACTAACAAAAACCCATTGAATTTAGCAATTAAGATGTCACAGGAGACCATGGTCCAGAATTATGATTTCATTGACCAAGGATATTCTCTTGAACAATACAGATAAGTATCTATTCTTCCACTTAGAGAATTAACTATAAAATAGAGTTATCTTGGAGAAAGCAATTTCAACAGAGATGAGAGAGAGAGAGCCTAATTTACATATGTTTAAGAATGAGTGGGTGATAAAGAAGGCAATAAGTGAAGGCTACTCTCTTTAGAAGTTTAGTAGTGAATGGCTGGGATATATAAAATAAAGTTTGAGGGGATAGAATGGTCAAGGGAAGCTTTGGACTTTTCTTGTATTTATTTTTTAGATAAAATTACTGGATCAAAGATTTAGAGCTGGAAGAGAGCTAAGAGGACATTGAGTCCAACCTTCTCATTTTATAGACAAGGAAAACTGGGAAGATATGAGCAAACAGTAGACAAAAAGAACCAATAAACAAGAAGAGAAGGGAGATAGTGAGAGAAAGAGAGACAGAGACAGAGACAGAGGGATGGAACAAGGTGTCATAAAAGGTAAGATAAGAGCAAGGATATGTGGAGTGTGGCAAGGAGGAAGGCCACCTCATTCTCTAAGACTAGAGGGAAGGAGCAAAGGATGGATGAAGACATATAGAGGTAAATGATGAAGTGCTAAATTATGTGGTATAGGCTGTGGGTTATAAGAGTTCAAAGGAGAGGGAGATTAATGCGGACTAGAGAAATCAGCCAAGATTCCATGGATTTGAGCTAGGCCTTGATGGATGGGTAGGATTTGGATCCACAGCAGGGAAGGGAGGGCAGAAAACAATGGAGCATGACCAAAACTTATGATTCAATATGATATGGAAAACATGTGCAGATGCAGCATAAATGGAGATGAGGATATTATGAGACACACAACTCACCAAACTGCAGCAGCCCACAGGTAAAATGTGCTTTCCACCTTGATTTCAGGGAAGATATTGTTACCAAGAGAATTTTAGCACTAGCATTTTCTGACCTAATTGGGTTTGAATTTTCTATCTAAATGTTGCATTCATGTGGTTTCCTGCACTTCATAATTTAACATTTGTAAGAGAAAAAATGCAGTTGTGAAACCCAAATAAGGCACCACATTCAGAGGCAGGCAGCCAGCTGCTAACCAGAGTGACATCCAAGCATCATTCAAAGTGTCGCTCTCAGCTCAGCTTCAGAAAGAGGATGCTTAGAAATAAGAGGAAAAATAAATGCCGCTAAATATAAACAGCAGTTACAGATTTCACAGGGGGAAAGGGTGGCAGGTAAGCCATCTACACGATAAAAGGCAGCAGGGAAACTATAGATTTCCAATAGAAAAGGAAATAGCAAAAGCCCAAATGAAGCCTCTTTGTCATGTTTAATCGGCTCATTCTGTAACTGTACTGCATCTTGCCATCTCTTAAGTGGAGGTATATTACTACCCTTAGAATAGTGAAGGACTGGATCATTGGTATCAGTAGTAGCAAGGAACTCCACAAATTTAAACTGGAAAGCTTGACAGTTTTGCAAATAGCCATTTCCCAAGGCATGTCATTCATTCATTATGTGAGTGATGATTGAAAAAAAGTGATAATTATCATTTAATTCATTTTACTACTTGTGTACACTGTGAGGAGGGAGGCAGTTCTAAGGGCACATAGGGTGGTATAATTGTTTATGTGATATAATACAGTTTTAGTACTTATTGCTATGGCCAATTTTTTTGTTGTTGTTATTTTTACTGGTATGTAAAACTTTTATTACCTTACTTTCTACTTCTTTTTTATTATTTTGAGTTATCAACATTCACTTTCATAAGTTTTTGAGTTTTAAATTATTCTCCCCCTCCCTCCCCAAAACAGCATGCAATCTGATATAGGTTATACATATACATTCCTATTAAACATATTTTCCCATTAGTCATGTTATAAAGAAGAATTAGAACCAATAGGAGAAACCACAAGAAAGAAGAAACAAAACAAAACAGAAGAAAAAAAGAGAGCAGATAGTATGCTTCAATCTGCCTTCAAACTCCTTAATTCTTTCTCTGGATGTGGATAGCATTTTCCATCATGAGACTTTTGGAGATGTCTTAGATTCTTGCATTGCTGAGAAGAGCTTAGTCGATCAAAGTTAGTCATTGCACAATGTGGCTGTTACTGTGTACAGCATTCTCATGGCTGTGCTCACTTCACTCAGCATCAGACCATAACAAATCTTTCCAGGTTTTTCTGAAGTTGCTATGACTAGTTTCAGGGGTAGTTTATTTCCTTCCTAGAGCATCTGACCACTTCCAAATAGCTAAAGTTGCCACTCAAGGAATAAAGGACATTGGATGCTCTGAATAAGAGGTACCTTCCCACCCATTTCATGCTAGATAGCCACAACAGATCCAGAGCTGGGAGAGTCCTTAAAAGCACCTAATTAAAATGACTTGATCAAGGCCACACAGGTAGCTAGGAGAAAAGTCAGATTTAATACCAGGTCCTCTGACAATAAATGCACAGCTCTTTCATGAAAATCCATGCTGGCTAGTTCCAGCCAAGACTTCTAGCTACTCTTTATATATAAAGGATGGAAGGAAACATTAAGTGTCTATTATCTGTCAGACAGTTTACAAATTTATTTCATTTGATCTTCACAACAACTCTGGAAAGTAGGTAATATCTCTATTTTGCAGATGAGGAAACTGAGGCAGACAGAGGTTAAATGACTTGTCCTGGGTCACACAGCTAACAAGAATCTGAGGCCAAATTTGAACTCAGTCCTCCCCTCCCCCCCACTCTATCCACTATGCTACCTCACTACCTAAGATAATTGATCTACTTCCACGTCTTTGCATAATCTTTCCTCTGCCTCTAATCTCTCTCTTTCTCTCTCTCTTTCTCTCTCTCTCTCTCTTCCTCCTCCTCCTCCTCCCTACTTCTTGAAGCTTCCAGTTCCTTTTAAAACTTAGCTCAAGTATTGCTTCTTTCAATATGCCCTTCCTCATTCCCCCAGCTGTTAACCCTGCCCTTGTAACACTGTACTTATTTTGTTCATATCTCACTATCAACATGTTATCAGCTCCCCCACCCCAACAGATGTAAGCTCCAGGAGAGAAGATACTGTCCCAGTTTTTGGCTTCGTATCCCCAGTGACCAGCAAAGTGCCTGGCACATAGCTGTTATTTAATAGATGCCTGCTGATAGACTGACTGACTGCCCATTATCAGACATTCAAATCCAGAGAAAGGAATCTCCCTTAGTGATAAGATCATAGGTCGAGAGCTGGAAGGGGCTTCAGAGGCCAGCCAGCCCAGCTCTCTGAATCTTATCTATTTTATACAGGAGGAAATTGGAGCCCAATGAGGCGAAAGGATAGGCCCAAGGTCCAACAAGTGATAAATATCAGAGGTAGAATTCGAACGAGCTCCTAGTCTTCATTTTGTTAATTCTGGTATTCTCAGCTAAAAAGGCAGCTGGTCATGATTCTTTCTATCGACAAATAAAGTTTATTCAGATAGTATCATTTTGTTAATTACTGAAACAAACACATCATGTACTGGGTTGTATTACTTGGATTTTTCATTAAGAAAACAAATCCTCCAATATCCTACTGCTTGTGTTGGTCAGAAATAGTTGCACCCTCTAATAAGATGTTCAGGCATACAAAATAAATGAGAGTTAATGAAATTAGAAGACAATACACACCAAGCCCTTCAGTTCAGAAGACTTACCTAAAATCACGTATGTTTCAAGACCATTCATGCAGCCCTCTGTCTACTCTTGCTCTCTTTCTCACTGGGTGCAGCTGAACTTCTCCTGAGGCCTGGGAATAAACTCTTTCATTGTGCTCCAATATGCTGTGGTATAACAAAAACAAAAACAATCAAGACAAGACGTCAGAATGAAAATGCCACTTCAAGTGTTTGTTCGGTGGCCCCGGGGAAATCCCTGGCCTTTCTCAAATATGTATCTTATAACCTCAAACAAGCATGTTCATCACTACCACATCAGCTATCAGACAACTGATCTACATCAAGTCTTTCTGGGGTAACTTTTAGTGACAACCTAAAACATCTGAAAATATTTTCTAAACCCCAAGGAAGTGAGTATTAGTGAATTAAATGAGCATCAAGGTATGCATACTTCATTGAGATTCTAGTTACAAAAATGAAGGCTTACTTGTGGAAAGAAATCAAATATGCAAACGGAGAAGAGATTAGCTTTCAGAATACGGTTCTCATTTTTTAAAAGTTTGTGTGAGGTCTGAAAGTCTGCCTAATGACATGGAAGAGTTTAGCTCCAGAATGCGCAAGATGTTAGGTGTTTCAAATTAATTTTATTTCATTTGATAAATATGTATGAAAGCACTTACTATGTGTAAAACACCATGTTAGGTATTTTAAGAAAAATACAAAGATGAATAAAACACAGGCCCAGGGTTGTAGAAGATAACGAGAGGGTTTTTTTTTGGGTCCACATCTGTGATATCATCAGTGTCAGGAAGTCTAGTGTAGAAATCCCCCTCCAGCAACGCATGTTTATTGTTCCTTGGTAATTGATAATCTTAGTTGTTAGAGGACAATGAAAAAAGCTGTGTCCCACCGTGGCCACATGGCTAGTTATGTGTCAAAGGGCAGCACCTAAACTCGGGTAATCCTGACTCGAAGGTCATACTTCTATATACCATACCAAGCTTCCCCTCAGTATGGGAGACAAGTCATGAAATTAAAATTAAAGATAAAGTATGAGAAACATCATTTAGAGAGTTACCAAGTGTCAAAAGGGTCTCAGGATAACCTCTTTCAGCCACATTATGACATAGCAAAAGGCTTGTATGGGATTATCAGAATGAATTAAACTATTATTAATATCTTGATATGAGTTTATTTTTTAAAGGCTAAGAAGATAAGAAAGTAATAAGGAAAGAGAATTTTCCATTTCAATTTAGAAACAGAAAGTTGATAGGTTTGGGTTGTCTGACTCAATTGTGATAAAATCTCTTCTACATAAATTTAAAAGTTAGTCTACATTATGAATTTTAAATGCTTGGTTAAGAAGATGCATGCCTCTTAACCCCCACTCACAGCAGCCACTCAAGCCTACACAGCAGAGCCACTATATGCCAATATCACTATGAAAAGATCTTTTTTTTTTTTTACCTTGTGTTCACAATGCTCATGCTAGATAGGGTGCAAGTCTAAGTGATTTTTTTTCTAGTGCTCTATTAAAGCTATTTTTCCCCCTTTGGTTTGAAGAAATAGTATAAAAGCATTATCTGTATTTTTTCAGGCTAACTTGTGTTTGCTCTTTCCATTTTAAACAGGGAAGTCAGCTGGGCACAGTCTTCAGCCCTTGCTCAGAGCCAAGGATTAGCTGCCAGTCATCCCTTGACCTCCAATCTCTACCCATTCTGCTCCTAAGCTTCCAAGTCAATCATTAATATTCTCACCTCAAATGTGTCAACCTTGAACTAAGAAAGATAATACCTGTTTGTTGCACATAATTAGCTAATATTTGGAAAGCCCTCTGAAGATGAAATCACTTGATTTTCTAAAACTTCCCCTTCTCCCCACTCTGGGCTTTATATATGGTCCGGCTCAGGCACAATAGAACCATTTAATAAATACTTTCTGATGAAGACAAAAATGATAAAACAAGTAAGTGAAAGCTAAGCAGACCAATTCAAATTATTTATGTTGAACTCTGTTGCCAAGCCAATGGATAGAATGGAGGGGATAAAATTATCCAAAAATGGGTGAGAACAGTTTGGGTGTTTTCATGTCCTTCTACCTTTGAAGGATGAAGACAAATCCCTAACACTATCATCTGATCTTCTGATGGAACCTAAGGACCCTTGGGCTTTGCCATAGATAATACTACAGCACCGATGGGCCTTTATCATGTATTCCCAGCTATCTGAACTGTCTTTTACGTGCTGTCTTCCCCAATTAGAGTGTGAGCTCCTTCAGAGAAAGGACTTTTCCCCTTTTTTATGCATAGTCTCAGTGCTTAGCACAGCTTGGCACATAGTAAGTGCTTAATAAATGCTTTTTTCATTCATTCATCCAATGAATTTCTACAATGAATTAGGATTGTGATGATTTCACCTGTTCTTAGAGCTCTATTCAGGTCTTTTCACCAATTCTGCTCCCACTCAAATGTTTGAGGAACAGCTAACATATTGATACATAATTAAATCATCCTAAATCAGGAATTCTGAAAGATAACAAACTGTCTTTATCTTGCCTCCACCATGGAAACAGAATTTTAGGGGGCAAATATTCAGATTCATGATGAATTAAGACCTGGATATGGATTTACATTTTAATTCCATAAAAACAACTCCAGCAAAACATTACTTGGAGAAGTTAATGCTACAGGAATAGATACAAATAATGGGGAGTTGGAGCCTGCCAGGAGGAGAGCAAGGGTTTGGCACCAAATGAAGTGTGCTCTGGACTTTTTGATGGGCTGTGTTACAATGTCTAATCAAAATTATTACAAAATTTCAAAGTTCTGCAGGATATGCCTGGATTTTATATGAAGCCCTTCTGTCATTTAAATGTAATTAAAAACATTTTTTCTCTTAAACTTCATCAATAGCATTAAACATAATTCAGTGTAATATGTGTGGATACATATACATTTACTTTTCCTGAAATTAAAAAAATGGTGAAATTCATTGCTACATTGTACTCTTTTCATGTGTATACTCAACCAATCTCTTGGAGGCAGAATGATGTTGTGATACTACAATGTCCTTTTCCAGGGGTAAAAATCAGGCTTGTAGTGGGAAAGAGATTATACTGCTTACTGAGAAGAATTAAACTAATCTCACTTGAAAGTGTCTTTAGTTATGATGATTGTTTATCTCCACAGAGATAGGGAGGAAGAGCTGCAAGTGATATGTTATGTGAATTATAGCCAGCTTTCAATTACATCTACTTTTGGGGGACCTAACATCAATTGCATAAAAGAAACCTCCTGATAATTCACCAGACCTCATTTTAAATAAGAATTCCAGCCTACACCTCTGCCAAACATTTATTTTTCCCCACCAGAGCTGTTAATAAATAGTAAAATTAAGTGCCAAGAATTTCATCTCCCCCAAACTGCATGTCAACTGAGGCAAAGCCTGACAGGCCTTAAGTGACTTAGACAAAACTCCAGAAAAGAAAAAAAAAAACTAAGCAACCTTCAAGAGACCTGGATAAGTCACAAATTTGCCTGATTAACAGAATTAGGACTACATAGAGAGTTTGGTACCATGCAGTGGTTTTTTTTATTAAGTTTCCATTTGCTCAGTTATTTTGTGTTTTTTATCGGAAAAGTATTAGAAGAGACAGCACTGATACTGCAGATAAAGTACTGAACTGGAATCCAAGAGATATGGGTTCTGGATTTGGAGTTAGGAGAGACCTGAGTTCAAATCTCATCTCCAAATCTTATGTCTAATTGTTTGATGACAGGTAAGTCAGTTAACCTCTCTAAACATCATGAGTAAAAGGAAGATAAAAATCAAAAGTCAGGAGGATCATATGACATAAGCTATGTAAAGCAGTTTATAAACCTGAAAAGGCTACATTAATGCCACAGCTGTTTTTGTTGCAGTTATTGGTATGATGATGATGGTGCCCACACTGTGGCCTTAGACAAGTCACAAGTTTTCTGGACTTCAGTCTCCTATCTGTGAGATGAAAAGGATTGAACTAGTGCTGATATGGGTGTGTTTCTATTTCTTTTAGTACTGTACCAACTTGCTGGTCACTGAACAAAGATCACATGACAAGACTATCAAAATTTATATTCATGTTTTAAGATGAACTAAGACCCATATGATCCTTTGCACTCTCTGTTTTATCATCCACCACTAAATCACCATCACTGGGGATGAATAAGGAGGCCCTCTAGGGTAGAGTGCCACTTTGTACATCTGCCTATTCTGTCCCTCCCCCCCAAAAAAATCTATCACTGGACAAGATGGAGGACTAGACATTTTCTCTGGGACCCATGACCTCTCAAAGCTCTCCAAAACAGAAAATATGCATCAAAGACAAAGCACGGTTAGCTGTCTCCATAGGCTAAGACACCCAGTATCCAAAAGAAGGTTAAAAAAAATGATGTGGATGCTGATGTTCACGGACCCTGAGCTCACTCAGCACCCCTCCCCTACTTCCCACTACCAGCAGTACCCACTAGCAGTCCCAAACACCCAACATAGAACAAAGCTTCTACCCACTCATACCCTAACTCATGCTCACTCTTTACAGTGTTGTGGAGTTCTCATGTCCAGGCCAGGACAAACAGTCAACACAACCTCAGCACTATAGGAGCAATAACTTCCTAGAGGCCACTACCTCATAGCATCCATTCTGCAAAGCTCTGAAATCCAGAAGCCAGAGCAAACAGGCAACACTCAACTGCTGGGGTCAGGCCACTGACAGTTCCTTTGAGGAACAGAGGGAGTGGGACAGGACACTGGAGTGTGGGTGGAGCTGGGGTTCAGGGGTGGGAAAGGAAGCAGAGTAGGAGGGGATGTTTCTGTAATACTCCACTAAGCCTGAGAAAAAGAGTTCAGCATCAAACTGGGCCAGTTCTGATCACCCAAAAGTTACTTGAGACAGAAGCCTAGACTGGTGAATCTGAATAGAAGAGGCTGGTACACTTTGAGATCCAGATCTTAAGGTAACAACTATCACAGGGGAGGGAGTCACACAGTAAAGAGGGGGGAAACAGGGCAGGGAGGGAAAGACCGAAATTACCTAAGAGATTTTAGGAAAAAGAAAACTCAAAGAACTTGAACATAATAAGCAGACAAACCAATACAAAATTTTAACAATCGGCTTCCAGATTTAGT